GGAAAACCCGATACTACGTAGGGCATGGCTGATGAATAACAGGCTCAAGGGAAAGAACAGGCTCGCAGGAAAAGAAGGTTCACCTTAAAATGTATTGCCAATTTTACAAATTCTGCTTGACAGCGCTCTGGATTCCCACTTTCGGAGCGACTGATGACTAGGGAGAATTTCTACTCGAGTTGAACTTAGAGGATGTCCTTTTGAGGGCTTTTAATGCAAGTTGATGTGTGCGGTCCCGCATCACAGCCACCCCCTATCCGCATCACCAGCTTGCAGTTGTCGATCTGCATTTCTGTTACACTTTGTTCTCTTCTTCTCGCCGGGTGATTTGATACCATTGGCTACCATATTTCTGTATCAATCGCCTTTTCGAGATAGCATAGCCTTTCCCTTTGGTAAATCTTTATGCAGAAGTAGTTCTACATTCTCACTCTTGCCCTTCCACTGCCAGTTGCCTCGCCCCGTCACGGACTCGCCGTGCAACGCTACTCCAATCTCGACTCTCAAACATTTGGCTGTTACGTGTTTTCTATTATTCTCACCAGCTTCACATTCTGAGCAAATCGAAAATGAGATCCGAGGAAGAATCGGTTGAAGGCCTCCTAAGTAGCCTTGGATTGGCGGATTATTTGTCAATGTTGGTGCAGTCTTGATTTCAATGTATAACGGAACCAGATTTGTTCTCTATCGTTCGTCTACCTGCTGTTTCTAAATACGATTCCTCTTCTGATTCGGAATATAGATTCTACTCTGAAGGCTTCGACACAATCCAGTACGGTTTTCCTTCTTTCGGATACCTCGGGTTTATTTGCTTTGGTCGAATTTCTTATGTTACTGGTCTGGTTTTTCAGGGCCCTTCAAGATATTACAGAGGAGGACCTCGCACAGATGCAAGTCAAGCGTGGCCATCGACGAGTTCTTCAGAGGGCCCTAGGCAAAGGCTCATCAACCAATGGACTGCTTGATCCAAATTCAGCGGTGCCACAACGCCTGGAACTTGGCTGTTCGTCACACGCGTCGGTTTCCCGTAAGAGAATAGCTTCCCCTAGTCTCTTGGCCGTGGTTAATCTGTCCTATTTCTCAAGCTCCTCCTTTCTCTGGGGAACGGCGTCTTCTTGGTGCCCACACAGAACGCAGCGGTTCCTGGGATCACGAGTCGTCGCAATCCGACTCTTCCTTTTTTGCAGGCATGGACCCGAACCACAGCCCGTCACCAGCTACCTGTGACTCAAAAGGCATCAACCGCCCTGGTAAGTATTGTCTCACTCGCATGTCCCGACCTCTAGAATTTGCATAAACCGTGTATACGTCTTAGCATAGCGAAACTTGCTTGCTGAAGATTTCTACGTCCTTCACAACCCCTCCCTCAACATGCAGTTTCAGAGTCACTCCTTGAGTCCCCGGCTCAGTTCTTCCTGCCTCCAAAACCAAAGAGGCGGTATCGTCGTCATCCGAAGCCTGAGTAAGACCCTCACTTCTGCTTATCAATAAAGTAAGGAGAACGATGACATCTGACGTCTGGCTATTACCGCATTTACAGCTTGAATGCACCAGTAAGTATAATAGATTTGTGCAGAAAATATACAACAAATCCAACCCAAAAAAGTGCATCAACTGATATAGAAGAAACTGTTTGCAGAAAAAGCCACTCTCCGCCTACGTTATGTTCAGTAATACTGTGCGTGAGCAGTTGAAAGGCCAACAAATTTCGTTCACAGAAATGTATGTGTGGATGGCTTTCTTCGATAAAACATAAGTCTTCCTAATCTTAATTTTCTTTGCAACTTAGAGCTAGAACCGTTGGTGATCGCTGGAAGACTTTGGATCCAAGCTCTAAGGAGGTATGCAGATCTGAATCACGCTCCAAGGATCATACTGGCTGCTACTAACATTACCTCTCGAGTCTCAGGCATTTGAACGTGAAGCAGCGGAGCAAAAAGATCGCTGGACCAAGTCAATGCTCGCGTACAAGCGAACCCGAGAGGTAGGCCTCTGCGCTTTCTTGAATCGAACATTGGATTTCTGTTTTAACATCTGCTTCTGATTGAAAGTACGAGCAGTATCGTAGATATTTGCAACAATTCAAGGAAGCCCAGCAGGTTCGAAGTGCAGCAACTGAAGCTCGACCCAAGCGCTTCAGCGATTTGGACTGCAGTAGCACTCGAAGCTTTAATGCGGTGGAGTCGGAGGTCAACAATAATTCCTGTGAGGTATCAGATGTCGAGGATGACGAGCTGGTTCCTCAACCGTATATTCCCAGCTCAGTTCCATCATCTGAAAGGACAACAACGAATAATTCTGCGAACGATGTCTCTCCGTACCCGTCACCCGTAACAAGTGTGTCTGCGTACCGTCTACCACCACCACTTACGAACAGCTCTCGCATACGGCCCACCATACCAAACCTTTGTACCTTGGACAAGCACTTGACTGAATCACAGACCCGCTTTTTCAAGTCCAACTGCCCCGTCCGCAATAATCCAGAACCTCGGTAAAATATCTAACTGCTTTCAAAATACACGCATCCACCAGAAATCAACGAGCGTGGACTTGTCGCAATCACGTTAGACAAATTTGTTCGAGATTATCGAGGCAGTTACTTTCCAAGAATCAACCCTGTGTAACTGGGCAAAAACACCAGAGAGCATCATGACATGGAGTGTAGCCATATGTCGCAGATTAGATTTCCACACTTCTAGCTTCACACTTCCCAGCAAAACGTAAAAACATTTTGACAGAAAATACATCCTCCTTTCCACTAGGTGATCAATGCTCAAAAGAGTACAGCTTTTGTTTTTTTCTTCATTCATAGCCGTTTCTGTTGTTCCTTGCATATTCCTTGGAAATTCCTTGTTCTGCGCCCTTATCCAACCTGGCAAACAAAATAGCTCAGATGTCGTTAGTAGAATGTGTAAATAGAATGGACACCACCACATCTCATGACGACACTCCTTTGGCATGCTTTTCTGTTTTTTTTTTTTTCTGCTGTAAAATTTGTGTTCTTATTGGAAGGAATGCATTTCAATCTGCAGACATCCTCATGATTACCAGACTGCCAGGTATCTTATCTTGTGTTGATTTTTATACACTCTGAGCCAAGGAGTCTTTACTCAAACCTTCGCTGAGATAATCCTAAGAAGTATTCACTCTGAGCGAGTCCTATTTTCTGTATCACGGAGGGTGTGAAGCAAAATCCTCAAGTTCAAATGTGATCCTTTAATTGCCTTTAATTTTTTAACTGCATCGTATTTTCATGCACTATTTTTTGCAGCCTGATCACTGCCTGTTACATTACAAGAGCCTGGATCTCTCAAATATATCCATACAGAGACCAGATTGTATTATTCTATTTATGATTGGACTAAGCTGTGAGATTTGTTTTAAAGAATGAAATAAATAATCAAGAAATGAATGTCATACACGTCAAGAGAATTGGGCTAGCCGGCTGCTGGTGCCAGCAGCCAACATGCAGGTTGTTTCTTTACTTAAAGTTTATTTCAACTCAACTTCAAGGCAAAGTTGCTGTGCACAAGAAGCTAGTTGGGAACAAGGCGGAGTTAAAGTAACAGTTCTGCTGAGATATGCTGGATGTCAACTGTTGGTAGTGATAGTTCAGTGGGGTTTTCTTGCAGTGATACATTGTATCTTTCTCGTCGGTCGGGGAAATCTTTTTTTAACACAGCAGCAGCAAGAATATCTATCTCTTGTGAGATTTATTGATCTTCTGTGATGAGCTGTGTGCGATGTGCCCAAAAGACAGGCACCATGTTGCTGCACCATGACTTGCCTCATGGTGGTTTGGAGGTTGAGCAAGGATTCGGAAATGCCGCCCCCCGCGTGCGCAGGCTTGCTCCCCACGGGGTGTGCATATTCAAAATCAGAATATGCAATTTCCCGCTGCCGACTTTTGATGGAGCACAACAAGTCGATGGTCAACAGGAACAAGTGCCCACGATTACAACCACTCCATCTTCATCAAGTCTTGCCACATACAGAAATTTCAAAGCGCTTGTTGGGCACCATCGGAAATATTGATATCTGCTGAAGATGAAGACCAAACGAAACAAATCTAACCGAAAGACCATGAGAGTCTACAACTCAATTTTCAAATTTCGGGAACCTTATCAAGTGCTTTGTTCGTCAGTCTGCTCCTCAACATCACCAATCAGTAAAGAAAGTTGACATTTTTTTAATCCCCTAGTCGATGCCGATTTCGCTGTCACTGTGACTACTCAAAAGATGGAAGTTCAGAGTCGATTGGCAGCTGTTCTTGGTGGAACTGTTAAACCAAGTTGGCATTTAACCTGTTTATCAACTCATTCCCTGACCTATGCTGATCCGATTACATGCCGAATTGGGCCAAGTTAATGTTGTGGAGCTGATGTGTCTTCGCTACCTTTTTGTCTTTAGTGATTACGCAGTGTTCAATCCATCATTTAGTGAATTTGGCATCTGATGGAAGTCAAGTGGCTCAAGAAGCAGTAGACCTCGCTCGTAATTTATGTGAGCGAAGGAAGTGTAAACATGGGACCATTAAAGCAAGCTCGATCGAATGTATCAAAGGTATCTTGGGCGATACGGACAATCGACTACGCTACATAGTTTGCACCCAGGATCCTCACTTTCGCACATACCTTCGGGAAAAGATCATTGGTGTACCTATCATCTACATCAATCGGAGTGGAACCCTCATCCTTGAGGAAGAAGGACCAGCAACCGAGTTAAGGCGCAAACAGGTAAGATATTAAATCCACTCGAACTTGCTCCAGATTCTTCATCTTATTAAATTTCCGCTCTTCCCAGCTGCAAGAGGATAAACTACACGTCCCGCCAGAAGAACTAGAACAACTGAAATCGACCGACACTGGACCCGACTCAGGCCTACCAGCTCAACTCATTCAAGGCCCATCCACAACCAATCCACTACAAACACAGTCTTCAGACACACTTTCAAACGGCCAAACTCACTCGGCGCATAAACTTGAAAATAAACTGCTAAAAAAGAAGAAACGAAGATCAGGAGGTCCCAATCCATTAAGCGTTAAAAAGAAAAAATCATCTGCCTCAAACAGACGAAGAATCCCTCAAGAGAAATCGGCTTCTAAGAATACTTCCACTCAGAAAACAAGCTCCAAAAGCTCTCGCAAAACTCCCCCTGGAAAAAATCTTTGAGGGTCACATATGGCCCTGTACGAGGCGGCAGATGAAAACCAACCGGGCTATCATGTTGCCAATTTTGCCGTACTGAAACCTTTCTGTTCAAATATTAACCTTGATTCAGCTTGTACACTCAGATCTTGACCAAAGCAATTAACGCTCGATTATCTATCTATGTATATACTGTTTGAGAACCACCCAACGTTCACGTGAGCTGGTATACTACAAAGGGCACTGCCATACAAGCTGTGAACTAGCTAAATCAGAAGTTCAAAGGGCACTGCCATATAAGCTGTGAGCTAGCTAAATCAGAAGTTGAAAACTGATGCGTCGCGTATAGGTGAGCCAATCACAGAACAAAGCAAAGAGGCGGCGGCTGCTAGCCGTATCTTCCTAAGGAAACATGAACGATTAATAGGGATCTCTATTACAATGTCACAATTGTCCAAATAAATTCTTTTAAAGATTCTAAAGAGAATATCGTTACACTGCTGTAAGCCACAGCTTTCTGCTTCTCTAAAGTTTTGTCCCTTGAGAGTGTCTTCTTTGATGACATACTCAGGGGCATCACCGTCCCCATCCGGATCTGCCCTGAGATGTCGGGACTCGGGAGAGCGTGCCGTTGTCGCAATTAAGGGAAGATGACGAGAGATGAAGCTAACGTGTCTTGCAATGGGAAGCCAACCGGATGGGTGCACGCCGTTGGCCGCCTCGGTAGCATGACCGAGCGGCACCTCCTCTTCCCATCCATTATGATCTACAGTATATACGCCATCGGCGTGGTAGTCTTATTGGATCGGTCTTGATTCTTGAACAATCAAGGAGCGATTGACCGAGTACTTCTTAGAGGAGCTTCCATTGGCCGATCTCACCCTATCTTAGCCTCATATGATCTATTGACTTCTGCTCCACCGTTGTCTAGTTACACCGAACCCATCCTGCACTCATCTCGCTAGAGAGCGACATGACGAGCTGAACGCTGATGAAGCCTTGCAAGACTCCTTGCAAGAGTGCCGAGTGGTCCAGTTGGAAAGATAAAAGGACCCTCATCGGCCCCCGTTTTTTCCATCATCCCAACCAACCAAGCCACTGAGATCAGATCTTGTATCTACACCCAACCCAGAAAATTCCGACAGACCTCCCGAAAACCCACCCGACCCACCAATAACCACAAAGCTTACAAAATGGTTTCTCTCGCCTACCTGATTACCCTTGTGGCTGTGCTCGTCGCTGTCTCCCGGGCAGATGAAGTGGCCAACGCGAAGACCGAACAAGTCGACGAGAAGTGGATCTATCCCAGCTACTACCGAAGAGGTTGGTGGGGAGGCAACGGGCTTTCCTTATACGCACTAGGGGACCCGCGGCGGCAGGCGCCGCGGGTCCCCCAGAAACTGGAAACCTCGGCGACTTCGTCGCCGAGGTTTCTCCCATGAGAACACAAAAACTGTTGTATGATTCTGATCCTGAGTATCTTCCGGTTAGAAATCAAACTATACCTGCTCCTGAGATGATGAGATTGTGATTCCGAAGCTTGTACTTGAACATTGTTGTGGCTTAACCCAGTGAGCCAAGACAGTTGAAATTGTTTGGTTTCAATCTTGAGCACCAACCGAGATTTGAGGAAATGAATCTTGTGCTCATGACCTCGACAAACTCCAAGATTGAGCTGCTCATGATGTCTGATCAAGCCAAATTTCATCTGATGATGTTTGAACATGTCATTGGGCTCAGAAATCATGAGATGTTAGTGCAAGCCCCTCACCCAGTCCACTACCGGTGCACAGAGACACTTTCAAGTTGGCCTTTTTTTGATCTTGAGAATGAGAGCACTGTCTCTAATTCGTAGGTCAATGTTGCTAGAAGATTCCAACTGGCCCTTGCCATTTCCGACTCTCAAGGTGCAAGAGTCACATGTAGAAGTTGTTGTAGCTCCGATTACCTCAGTTCAACAGTCTAGTAGCAACTCGGCCCGTGCTTGTCTTCACATGCTGTTCTTTTTCCCAGCCTCAACAATAAGATCAGCCAGATGAAAGAAGCACATGATCAAGAATAAAACGGAAACAAAAGAAAACTTACATAGAAGCTTGAGAACTTATAAAAATGATGTAATTAGAAACAGATGCAAAGCGAAATGGTAGAAAGGAAGCAAACTTGATGAAACTTGAAAGTCTCACCGTAGGACTTGTATTTTTCACATCTAACTCATTCAAATCTATCAAACACTCGGAAAGGCTGAGAAAGCTGGGCATTCCAGCGCCTAGAAACTTCCGGAACTTAACGACCGATCACCTGGCTGTGTCAACATCAGGGTCCGAAGTATTTCTCCCTAGAAGATATAAATAGAGGCCTCACATCGGTCTTGTGCCTACTCCCCAGGCATGCCTGTCCGGCATTGCCTCAAACTTGGTCCTTGAATCTAAAATTTGGTCTTTGAGAATTTGGTCACTTTGGTCACTTTGGTCTTTGGTCTTTGGTCTTTGGTCTTTGGTCTTTGGTCTTTGGTCTTGAAACTTGAAACTTGAGTCTTAAAAATTTGATCACTTTGGTCTTTGGTCTTTGGAGTCTGAAACCGAAAAAGAAACTTTTGAACTTGAGCTTTGAAAACCTAGAGCACATTTTCTGAGGATGAAATCGAAAGGCTGCGAAACATGCGGCCCGACGAAACTGTGGAAAACTGACCTTTTAAGGTTGTTAATGGAACCCCTTTCTCTACAGCCGTTACAGCACGGTCCTTGGTCAGAGCTGCTACGGAGCCACGTTTTACCCCGTCAACTGGGGACTCGGGACTCGCTACTTTGTCAAGGCCAACGACGGCGAAGGCGCACACAGTGTTACCAGACGTGCAATCGACCTTGATGATGCCGAGCAGCTTGTCCGTCGAGACGCTGGCGAAACGGTCACCTGTTCCGCCCATGGCGCAGCTCCTCAAACTTTCTCCCTCAAGGAATGCGTTGAGTATGTTGCTCTTTCCAAACATCTCTCAGTCCTCGATGTGCCCGCTAACAAGCTCCTTTGTCCATTTTTTACCTCAGGGCTGTCAACCAAATGTCCGAGAAGAAACTTTCGACGGCTAGCCACGGGGGTTGCAAGGTGCGCATGAATTGAGTCCTCCTAGTCTGCAGCGCATGTTAACGAGATCGGTATTTCTGTTTGTCTAGGTGGCACTCGTCAGCGGCAACGAGAAAGTGGCCCCAGGCCTCATGTAAGCAATCAGACTGAAGAGTTCACAGATCAAAATATAGGATATAGGATATATCATACTTACATCTGCGTCTTCTTTTTTTCTTTTTGTATCTGCAGTTCCGCGAAGGACCTCCAGGCAGGTGTTCACAACATCTTGAATGCTTGTGCCAACCCAGTCAGTGCACCCTTCTAACATTGAAAGAATCGTATTCTAGCTTGGAAAAACGGAGGAAAGACTAATCATCTGACTGGCTTGAATTTTCTGCTTATATATATCAGGACACCAAGGAAGCTGGTACCAGCAAGTCCGGCACCAAGATCGACGAGAAACAAGTCGCCATGATCCTCACCAAGAACTGAGCTTTCCCCTTACCCAACAGCACTCAGCTCTGGATTCCTTTGATGACATCCCATTTTTCCTACTTCTTTCTGGTTTAGTTCTGCTTGTATCGGTCTTGTCAATATCTCAGAAGTGTACCTCGGGCGACTATATATGTTTAAGATCTGTCAATTATTTTCTTTCTGCAATATATCAAATGGGTTTGTGATTTGTTACATAGCTGTGTGATTGAGAGGACATCCTGGTCCGTGTCAGTGAGCTAGCTTGGGTTAAGATGGCTGCTTGTCATGAGCAAAGGTTCCTCTTTTCAAGCTCAGAGCTAGGATGATCGTGTTTCCTTCAAGTGAGAATTTGGCCTAAGGCTTCGCAGTACACTATGAATTTAAGAAACATCCTGGAGTAAAAGGACTAACAACGACTCAAAACCAATAGGACACAAGACGATCACATGCAAGTGGCATCATCCAACAGATATCAAATTGCACCTTCAATTACAATGTTACTTGTTACTCCTGTAGCGCAACGGGTACGTCATTTTTAAACATGTTTGTTATTCATTTAACCTCTTCTGGGGCCCATTACTGCAAAAAGATTTTTTGGGAAAAGTGACTGGTTTCTAATGGTGGATTTCCTATATTTGATACCCCCTAGTGACATTCTTGCGGGTGGAGGGGGTTGGGAAATTGACTCAACAACCATTGACGGACTTTTTTTTAAAGTGTGATTTCACCATTAGCATTGCACATTATGAATTTCATGATATCTAGATGCAACTTGTTAGATTTTAATACAGCAGTTCCCAGAAAGCTTGCTTTCTGGGACCGGTCGAAATTGCAAAAAATAAAAAAAATAAAAAACTTTTTTACGCCTCTGGGTCCTGTATTTCTCCCTGTATGGCCATAGTACTTCATGCAATACAGCCCAACTTGCTCATTTTTGGAGTTGAGCATTTGGGATTAGGACCATTGGAATCCTCTCAAATTTCTGAGTTGGAACGGCTAATCACATGGAGGCTATGCCGGCCCCCACCTGGCACCTGACTGGTTGCCTGAGGCCCAACAAGGCCTTGGCAGCTTAATCAGAACCTGTACAGTAATGTGTACAGGTTGAGAGGCACAAAAAAAGGTTTTTTTTTGCAATTTCGACCGGAACTGCTGTAATTTGATTTTCAGTACTTAATAGGAAGGTTCACATTTCAAATTTTTTTAGCAATTTTTTTATTTGAGGGTAGCAGAGGGAATTGAGATCTCACACTTAAAATTATCCTGCTGCCAGTGCAAGTTTGGATGGAGTAGAGATCGTTCCGCGGTACCCTTTGCTAGGTACCTAGTACCGCTTGGGGGGTACCCTTCACACCCGCCCCGCACCCGTCGGGAGGTGCCAGGTGCGGTACTTGGTACCTATTTTTGTGAAAAATTGAACAGGTACCTAGGTACCGCTACAGGTACCCCCTCACTTCCCTACCAAAATGACGGTGGCCTTCTACTCCAAGAACTCCAAGAAGGTACCTTGGCTACATGGAAACAGGGACTCAAGGATAACAAGAAGTCTAACCAAAAATCAAAAAGGCAGGTGATAGTTTTGGACAACAATGAAGATTCTTCTAATTAGATATAATTTGTAGACAGTTTAAGCTTTAAAATAAATTATTAAATGTGAATAAATGAAAAAATTGACTTCGGATTGATGTTTTACAATAAATATGAAAAAAAGGCAAGATTCTTCCCATTAGATGTAGATACTTGACAACAAATATTTAATTTTTTTTGAGGGCCGACTCCCAAACCCACCAACGGGTTTGGGGAATTGACTCCCAAATTTTGGGGAAACCCGGGTTTGGGAGTTGACTCTCCAATATTGGGAGTCGGTTGATCAACTCCCAAACAAAAAATGGTTGAACATTAGCCCCCATCCACATGACCCCCTGCCATCACCAATAAGTAGCTACCCCAACACTGGGAAGTTACATATGTTACGATATCCAAAGGGATTTTTGTAACTTAACTTCCCAGCTGTCCAGATAACGCCGTTAGCGTTATCCAGACAAAATGGGTTTTTGGGTCATGAGTAACATAAAGAAGGGGGTTTCTCCCCTTGTTACCCAGAAAAACAACGCAAACAACAAGTTATCTGCGTTATCAACCTAGCTTATAGTCATTCATTTGTTAATCCACCTTTTTGCGCTTTGGATCACGTAACGAAAAAATAACAAAAAATAAAAAATAAAACGTAACGGAAAGGCCGTTGCAATTATTGCAACGCTAACAGCCCTGGTTTTGTTGCGTTATTGTTACGCTACCGTTACTGGTAGTGTAACTTCCCAGTGTTGGCTACCCTATACAAGACTTTAATTAGATATAATGCGCCTACTCACAGAACTTACCATCATCATTAGCCCAGTTCACATTTCACACTTTCCAATGCTAACTTGTGATAAACTTTCTGCTTGCTGATTTCAAAACTCCATCCTAGAGATTGTTCGTTCGTACTCGGGTACCTGTTGGTACCTAGGTACCTGTTGAATTTTTTCAAAAAATAGGTACCAAGTACCGCACCAGGCACCTCCCGGCGGGTACCGGCGGTACTTTTGGCAGGTACCGCGGGTACCTCCCCTCTCTTTCTAACCTAGGTTCACTTTCAGATTACCAAGTCACTTTTTTATTATTATTTTTTCATATTTATTGTAAAATATCAGTCCCAAGTCACTTTTTTTCCATTCTTTCATATTTATTGAAAATATCATTCCCAAGTCACTGTTTTTCCTTTTGTCATATTTGTTGTAAGACATCTTAAACTAATTGGAAGAACCTTACTTCATCATTATTATTATTTTCATATTTATTGTAAAATATTACTCAAGTCACTTTTTTGGCATTTTTTTCATAAAAAAAAAGAAAAACCCCGGAGGGGTTGGGTGTCGATGCCCCAAAACCAAGTGGTTTTGGGGGGTCGGTGATAAAAAAAAATAAAACCAGCGGCTGGGAGGATTCCTCCCGGCGAGAGTGCTTCATGGACGGCCGAGTGAATTCCTCTTGGGTGTTAAGGGTATAACCCTCAACGGCCGAAAGAAACCTCTCAGCCGTTGAGGGTGTACACCTCAACGGCCGAGAGAAATCCTCTCGGCCATCGAGGGTGTACACTTTGACAACCGAGAGGTACACGCTGTTGAGGGTACACCCTCGACGCCCGGGAGGAATCCTCTCGGCTGTCGAGAGTGTATACCCTCAACGGCCAGGAGGTACACTCTCGGCTGTTGAGGGTATACATTTTCAATGACCAAGAGGAAACCCTCTCGGTCATACATGTTTCCTCTCGGTCGTTGAGGTGTACACCCTCGATGGCCGAGAGGTTTCACTCGGCCGTCAAGGGCTACACCTCCGACGGCCGAGAGGTTCCTCTTGGCCGTTGAGGTCTTGACGGCCAAGAAGTTTCCCTCGGCCGTTGGGGTTTACACCCTTGACCTCCGAGAGAAACCCTCTCGGCCGTTGAGGGTTATACTCAAAGGCCGAGAGGGTTTTCTCTCAGCCGTCAAGAGCACTCTCTGAGGCCGGGAGGAATCCTCCCGGCCGTCGGTTTTTTTTTTTTTTTTGGTTCTGGCATTGACACCCAAACCCCGCCGGGGGTTTTCTTTTTTTTATTTAAATTTTTTTGGAGGCTGACTCCCAAACCCACTGACGGGTTTGGGGAATTGACTCCCAAATTTCGGGGAAACCCGGGTTTGGGAGTCGACTCTCCGATATTTGGGAGTCGGTTGATCAACTCCCTTTTATTTTTGGCTGATTAAATTGGGTAATGGGCATTGAAATGTGAAGTGAGCAGATTTGTTAAAGTAGACAACTAATAAAGGGTTTGCAAGTGAAAGGGGTGGTGTAGTTGTCCAAGTGGGAAGGGGTAACGGCCAGGGGTTGGGTCTGCCAGGATTCAAACACCGGACTTGTTGCCCAAAGTGAGTATAGTAAGTGTTGGAATTTAGCCGTCATCATTCCTTTCCTCTTTTCTTTTCTGTCACACACATGTCACTCCTTCCTCATCTGTCATTCTTTTCTCTCTCATTTCCAGATGAATATGCTGTAGAAGTTTTGAGGTCAAATACTTTATTGCAGCTTATAATCAAATGCTAATAGTAGTAGATAACTGAGAGAATAAAATAAACAGAGGAAAAAAGGCAATAAAGAATTGAGTAAGAAACTGAAAAAATAAATGAAACACGCAAGAATACTTGATGAGAAGAAAGAGTGAAATCACTAAGTACCTTTTGATGTTCTTGTTCTGGCTACGGCTCAATTGATAGACACGAGAAATTTTTATAGGAGAAAAAGGAAAATAACAAACAAGACTGAAAGAGAAATATAAGATCACTCAATTGAACAAGGAAAAGAAGAAAGAGATAGAGAAAGGAATCGAGACAGTGATGGGACTTGGATATACCTCCACTTGAGTTATTACCGAGCTCCTCCTGATTTCCTTTGGTCTAGACGAGTGGTGAGGCGAAACAAGAATCTGACAGTTTGGGATTGATCGGCAGTGGATTAAGGGAGCTTATGATTTGACAGGTTGCGACACTGGTGGTTCCGAGTGTGATGAAGATTTTCAGCCTTGAGTCACAGGGGTTGAACTTGGATTCAACTTTGGTTCTTGCATATGGGTATGCAATATCCTAGATGTCACTAACACACTGTAACAGGTCAGGATCACTTGTTGACATATGCTTCTTCACCTTCTGTCCCAAAACTCAGCCATAATTTGTATGTAGATAAATAACCATGCTTTCTGAGTTAGAAAATGAAATCATCAGTCTTCTGCGAACTTTTCCCTGTGGTCTCCAAAAGATACAACCACTTGTAGTGTGAGTGATTTTCTGCCACACACACTAGCAGCTCATAGCCCCCTTTTGGGCTCTTTGACCACCAATTTTTCTCTTGAGTCTTTTGCCTCAAGATTTGTTCACTGGTCCTCTGTCCTCAGTTCTCACTTCCTCATCCTAAAATTTCATCAGTATGTCGCACAGGGGTGACACCAAGCTTCCGTGGGTGATGGTTACCTCTAGGCCATCCAGGCCCTATGTGAGGGTTGGCCTACTACTTCTCAAATCCAGAGACTATGAAGTTACTCAAGAGAGTAACTCGCCTAGGTAAGAAGATAATAGTCAAATGATTTCTCAATAACTTTAATGAAGTTTGTTTAATGAATGATTTTAGATAAGGTTTAATGATGTTTATTACTATAGGTAATGTAAATCTAGATGATGATGATGATAAGAAATATCGCGATGAGGAAGAGAAAGAACAAGTAGAAGACTATATGTCATGAATGCACAGACCCGATGACGACATCAAACTTTCACCCATGACATCATATGGAGAAAGATTACATAAATACAAATGAAGTCGTCATTGTATAATATAAATCTTACATGCATATAATACGTCATCAGCTAAGTTAACCCACCGAATCTGCATAATCTTACTTAATCCACAAGTTAACGAATCAGTCATGACAAAACAGACCTCCCTTATACTCTAAACCGTTCCTACCTTTTTTTTATTCTTTTTATAGTATTTTGCATGACTATTCCTAAAATTCAACAAATAACTTGTTAATGTATTTGGGAAATGTAAATGAGACACCCACGTGTCCTCTCCCACTGTTGCATCCCGCCACGAAACTAAGTAGTTGAAACTCCCCTTGCGCAGCTCCCTGAAATCTAACACAGATTTCAGCTTTTTCCAGTCAACCACTTGTTCTTCATTATAATACTTTTCCTTCAAATCCGTAGAAAAACCACGATTAACTAAGCTGTTAGGCGGAAAATATTTAACAATCAGTGAGACATTAAATACAGGATGTAACTTAGGATATTGATGATGAATATCCAATTCTACGGCATTTGATCCTACCATTTTAATTACCTTAAATGGCCCAATATAACGATAATCCAATTTAGAATTCAAGCGCCGTGACTGAATAAACTTTCTTAATAAAAGCACCTGATCTCCTATCTCATAGACTGGAGTATCTTTCTTACCCTCATTGTAATATTTAGCTTGTTGGATACGCGCTTGAACTAAACATTCCATCGCCGTTTCTTGAGTAACCTGCAAATCATACAGAAATTCATCTAAATCTTGCTTACCAGTAGACTCTGTCATAATATTGAATTTAGGATGATGACCTTAAGTGAAGAAAAAGGGTGAAATCTTCAAACTGGTGGAATCTAAATTATTTAAAGAAAATTCTGCCATGTCAAGACATTTGTCCCAATTATCCTGATAATATGAACAGAAATGAAGTAAGTAATCCTCCAATATTTGATTCATCCTCTCTGTCTGTCCATCCGTTTGTGGGTGATAAGCGGTCGATAGTGCTGACTTAATGCTCAAGGAATTCATTAAGGCTTTCCAAAAGTTACTCACAAACGTTGTTCCCCTATCAGACACAATTTTATCTGGTAAACCATGCAAACGGAAAATATTTTTCCTAAACAAGTTAGCTAAAACAGCCAAAGAAGATGACTCTCTACAGGGAATAAAATGAGTAAGTTTGCTCAGAAGATCAATAACTACCAAGACAGAATCAAAACCTCCAGACAAAGGGAGCTTAGTAATCATATCCATTCCAATGGTACTCCATGGTTTTGGTTCCGGTACCAAAGATACCAACTTTCCATCCTTCAGCGTCCGCCGAGCCTTGACCCGTTGACACGAGTCACAAGTCTTTACAAACGCTAGCACCGACGACTTGACACCTGGCCACGAAAACGTGCGTAAAAGGATCGAAAGAGTCCGAGCAATGCCTGGATGGCCGACTGCCGGCGAATCATGATACATAGCCATGATACGAACTCGTAAGCTATCTGGTACATAAATTCTGTCTCGATGCCATAAAACTTCATCGACCAATGTTAACGAAGCCAAACTCCTATCAGCATCAGAATAGTTCTTCTTCAGAAAAACCACCAACTCCGCATTAGGTCGCTGGAAATGCAAATCATGTACTCCACCTAAACACTCTAACTTCCCAGCCATCACAAATTTATCTCGCAAGGACGTGGACTCCGGGATTGTGGGTCTATCAGCCACGTAATCTTCGCGTCGACTTGGAGCATCCGCCGGGTTCTTGGTTCCTGAAATGTGATAGATTAACATATTAAAATTATCTAAATAACAAGCCCACCGAGCCTGTTTGGGTGACAGATATTTAGCACTCTTAAAATACATCAAATTAGAATGATTGGAATAAACTTTGACCGGCTCATCTGTTCCCATCAACCATGCTCGCCAATCTTCAAATGCCGATACAATTGCTAACAATTCCAAATCAAAAATTGGCCAGGAGCGTTCTCTATCACTTAGTTTTCTTGAGAAATAACTCACTGGGCGGTTATGACCTTCGTTATCCGGCTGACTCAATACCGCAGCTATAGCATATCCCGAACTGTCCACATGAACTGTCCTTACTTTATCAAAACTAAAATGCATCAACAAAGGGCCTTGCACAAATGATTTTTTCAACAAATGAAACGCTCCCACTACTTCTGGCGAATGAAAATCTGTCACTGGTAATTTCTTTGTCTTGGTTAATGCCGTCAGCGGACCTGCAATACCTGAAAAATCTTGAATAAAACGTCTATAAAAATTAGTGAAACCTAAAAAACATTGAAGTTCTTTAATAGAAGAAGGAAAAGGCCAATTATCAATTGTATTCAACTTCTTATCACTCATCTTCAAACCGCCTTTAGTAATGTCAAACTCCAGAAAGGTAACCTTAGAGCAGAAAAACTCACATTTATTTAAAGACGCCTTGAGAGAATATTATTTCAACTTGCTCAAAATGTTCCGCAAATCTGTAATATGTCCTTCTTTGGTTGTTGAAAAAATCAAGATGTCATCAATGTAAACAAAACAACACACATCTAAATACTCACGTAATACATGTTGAATAAAACGTTGAAACGTGGCAGGCGCATTACACAAACCAAATGGCATAACCTGGTATTCGTATAATCCCCAAGGCGTACGGAAAGCTGTTTTCCATTCGTGACCTTTAGCAACTCGTAGCAAATTAAAAGCAGCCTTAAGATCAATTTTCGATAGAAAACTACAACCCTGAAGATTATTTAAAAGTTGAGAAACCAAAGGCAAAGGATACGAATCACAAATTGTCATACCATTCAGAATTCTATAATCCACGCAGGGGCGATCCGCTTTACCCGTAACTTTGACATAAAAAATTGGGGCGGCTGCAGGAGAAGATGAGACTTGAATGAAACCCTTGCGTAAATTCTCATCAATATAATCCTTCAGTTGATCTCTTTCTCCCTTGCTTAGATTATACATCTTACCGAACGGAGGAACTGTGCTAGGCTTCAGGTTCACTTCACAATCAAACCTCTCACGATGGGGGGGCAAAGTCGCCAAAGATTCAGTTACAAAAACATTTTTAAATTCATCAAATAAAAAAGACGCATCAGGAGTTTTGATAGCCAATACAACCTGCGATAAAGACTTAATCACAATACTCTTCTCTGTCCCGCCTACATAAGAGTTAGTATCTTTTAACCATGAACTTCCCAAAATGATGTCAGAAGAAACGATTCGAGTTACATGTAACATGACAGAACAAAAGAAAATTGAGTTATCAACCGTGGGAATTAACAGTTTCCCTTTTATGTATTCTGTAATCTTTCCCGAAGAAGCCAAAGATCCATCAAACGATCGGCACTGCATCGGAGTGATCAAATTGAATTTTTGTAAATTATGAATTCTGACAAAAGAATCGTCAATAAAAGAAGACGTAGCCCCCGAATCAACCAATACCGAACACTTGGTTAGCTCCAAGTCACCTTCATACAAAGATGATTTGAAAAAAGGACGATTGTCTGAAACATCAGAAATCTTCACATGAGTAAAAGACTTACATTCTTGAAATTGAGCCTCCGCAAGTTGTTGTTCAAAGAATAACTCCCCAAGAGTCATTGGCTCCATCTCTACGGTATCTGCCATTGCTTGACTGGTTGACGCATTAGGAGAGTTTGATTGTTGATTGTTCAAAGCGCGCTTAGCCGAATGGTCGGAAGATTCATCCCACAAAGATTGCCTCTTCTTTCCCTTGTCTCCAGGATGACGTGAAGGCAAACTCGGTTGGGCCGAAGGATAACGCCCAGTTGAAGAAGACCAACGATCAATCACAGAGATTGATTGAGAAAAGCGCGACTCCGGACGACCATCGCTTCCATCATCCCTTGCTTGCCCTCCCCAGTCTCGCCATATCCCCAAAATCTGCGCCCTAGACAACTTCGCACTCGGGTCTTCAGGGCATCGACGAGCGTCCACATGAGAAGAATCGTATTGTCCACCGCAGCGATGGCAAATATGCTTCTGAACACACTCATGTCAATAGGCGTCATAGGTGAAGCCCAGATCTGCAGCGATAGCATCAATATCCATGGGTACTCCATCTGAAAGTCTTGGCGGTGCCTTTGACGAATTGGGTCTAGGCGGAAGTTGAATCTTTTGAATGATAGGTTGAGGTTTTTGACTTAAACAATCGATCAGCGCCACTCCAGGAACATCTGCAGCCAGTTCAACCGCCATCGCTTGTTTCTTCGCCAAATCCGTCACACCATTCCAGCCACCCCGCAATATCCCGAGTTGAATGATCTTAGGATTAATAGCCTCGTCATAAATGTCAGCCTATGTGATGCCAAGACAAGAGTCTTCTAGCTACACAAGGTACAAAACTAAGAGTTTTTATGGTAAAAACTCTGGGACAAAAAAATGGAACAAATAATTCAAAAGAATTACGTAGAATTTTATGGATTAAATCCAAAAATGTGGCCAATTTATATTAATAAAATTAATATAAATTAAACCTGAGGGGCCTGATAAATCAGGGGTGGTTTAGATCCCTCTAAGGTATCGTGCAAAGGCAGAGGATTTAGGTACCTGGTACACTGGGGCCTGTAAACAGGGGTGGTTTATATCCCAGGATTTTATTTTAAGGGGAAAATCTTCAAGAAAGGGTTATTACTTACTAGTAATAATCCTGTAGGGTCTTGAGGATCTTCAGAGTGGAAACTGGGCAGTTGGAAGCGCGCAAAAAGGTGGATTTTGGGTGCTGGATGATCACTGGGGAGTTTCTTGAGGATTCTTGGGGCTTTAATAACAGTAATTATAGTAGTAACTAGGCTAATTACAAGTGTAGGGGACTTGTAAATGGTAAGTAAATTTCTATAAGGTATTGTAAAGCTGGGGGATCATTATTTGGGCGGTCAGAAGGCCCTTTAAATACCTGTGGAAGACCTCAGGGGTTGCTCAGGGGAGCTTAGTAGGACTTGGGAGCGCTTTGTGGCCCATTTTAGCCCACATGGTGACGCAACAAGGGCTGAAACCTTGGGGATAATATTCTAGAAGTTCCCAGGGGTCTTGCACGAATTTATTTGAACCAAGAATATCCCTCAGGAACCTGTGGATACTTGCTAGTCTGTTACGTGGAGTTATTTCCTTGGAAATGGGCCACAGAATATCCAAGAGGTGGTTTCTGGGGCTTGCTACACGTGTTACCACTTGGAATATAGAATGTTCTAGGTTACTGTAGTATTTTCATGCATATTCTAGTTTGTTTATATTTTTATTACACGTGTGGGGGCTTTGTTGTCACGTGTAATGAGGATTCTAGGGCGCTTGTGGCCCATTCCTTGGATACTGGTAACCCAGAGGGGGTTATGCATGTATCCAAGGCGGGTGGGCTTACCTAGCACGCGCGGGGGCTTGAGCCATGGGCTCAATTGTAGTCAGGCGCGCCTGTCAACCGTGCGCAGCATGACTACGCGGCGCACGGGCTTGGAGACAGTACACGCACGCAGCTCTATCTCGAACTATACACAACACTCCAAATCTGAGACAAGATTTGGAGTATATGCATATTGTTATGTATAATGCATAGTTATTCAGGTGCCCGTGATCTATGGGTACCTGTTAATTCTTTAAGTGGGTATTACAGGATGAAGGAGTTACAATTAGGGGTACCTTTGGCTGAGGTACCCTAGGTTAAATTGTACGTAGATTCAGAATCTGTAATAAAATTTAAAGTTTTCTCTAATCTTTCCTTGTTATTTATATATTTTTAAGTGTTTTTATGTTATTTACATAAGTAAATTAGTTTCTTTTACTTATGTAATATTTTACTTTATTCTTAGATTTTTTATGTGATTTTATTTTTATTTTGCTATGACAGGTTGTCTCTGCCATAGTAGCAAGCTGACATTCCCTACCCCTAAGATGAGTTTACTCATAAAGAAAAAAGTCTGGAAATGGATAAGGATGGGAAAAAAATTCTTTTAAGCCTCTATTCAAGGTGTTCTTTTGGAGGCTCTATAATTTCTCAAATGTATGGCTCCATCTGGGATATTATTCTCAGGTAGCCATTCATCTTTGTCTGCTGACTGGTTCTTATACCTTATCAAATAAAGCCTAGTGTCTTTCCCTTGTACCCTTTCTTTCTTATCCTTGAGTATCTTATGGACTTTAAGTTTCTCAGTAGGTGGAGTCTCTAATACAGGTACTGGTTCTGGGACTACAGGAGTATCTGCCGTCCTTTGAGTGTAGGGTTTAACAAGACTTACTGGAAAAACAGGGTGTTTCCTAGATAATTCTTCACTCAATATGACTTCTACAGCATTCTTCCCGTGTAACTGTTTAATGGTGAAAGGACCAACAAATGAAGGTTTGAGTTTCTTGTTCCCACCAAGGTTATTAAAATTGACTGTGGACAGAAGGACTTTATCTCCAATCTTGAATTCAGGTTCTTTATGGCTCTTATCCCATCTATTCTTGTTATACTCTACAGCATCTTCAACACATTTCTTGGCGTGTAAATTTGTGGAATCTAACATTTTCTTGAAATCTAGTGCTGTAGGGTGTACATGAGGTAATTTGTCATTGATGGTATCTTTGGGCATGCGTGGGATCCATCCTCTCTCAAGTATATATGGGGCTTCTTTAGTAGAGGAATGTATACTGCTATTATAAGCTATTTCCAAGGCAGGTAGTAAGCTTACCCAATCATGTGTATATCCATCATGATTTTTGAATTCAAAGCCAAATGAACAGAATCTTCTGAGCATGTCTTCTAGGGTTTGTATCATCCTCTCAGCTAAGCCATCAGTCTGGGGGTGATAAGCTGTGGAGAAAGCTAATTTTGTTCCTAACATATCATGTAAGTTTCTCCAGAATTCAGACGTGAATTTGGGGTCTCTGTCACTGATGATTATTTTGGGAATGCCCACGTCAGCCATTAGTCTGTTCCAGAATAACATAGCTACTTCCATGGCAGTATCATCTTTATGATTAGGAATAAATTTTGCTCTCTTGGAAAATCTATCAACTATAACTAGTACTGAGTTGTAGGAGTAAGATCCTCCTGGAGGTAATCCAGTAACAAAATCCATGTTGATGATTTCCCATTTATCCGTAGGTTCAGCAATTTTCTGAAGCAGTCCAAATCTCTTGCCTGTCTGTTTGTTAGCTTTTTGACAGGTGTCGCATGATTTGATGTAGTCATGAACTTGTGTTTTCCAATCCATCCACCATGCAGTCTGTTTTACTCTTTCTACTGTTCTTTCTTCTGAAAAATGACCACAATTTACATTATCATGACATTCTTGAAGAATATTTTTTATTTGTCCCTCATCACATAAGACAAGTACACTTGAGTGTTTGTGTCTGTAGTACAACAATCCATCAAATAGTGTGAATTTGCCTAATTTATAATGTTTGGACAGAACAGGTGTTAAACTAGCTGCTAGTTCTGGGGGACTACTGTCATTTCTCAATATTTCTACCAATTTTAGTAATTCACTATTTTGGTCATAACTTCTCTGAACTAATTCATAAAAAGCATTTTCCATGTCACATACGTGAATTCCCAAAATAGGAAATATGTCTTCGTCCTCAGGATCATATGCGGGGTTATCAGGGGTATTAGGGAGTGCCCATCTGCTTAATCCATCAGCATTCATGTGTTTCTTGCCAGCTTTATGGATTATGGTCATATGCCCTCTATACTGCTGAATAGCAATTTGCCATCTTAACATGTGTCTGTTGGGAGTTTTCATGTTCATTAGAGTTTTAACTGCGGTACAATCAGTGATAACTACAAAGTTAGAGCCTTCTAAGTAGTAATGTAATTTATCTAGAGCCCATACCAATGCTAAGCATTCCATTTGGCTAGCTCCATATTTCCTCTCAGATTCCTTAATCTGTCTGGATATGAAAAGAACTGGTTTTTCCATGGGTTTGTCATCCACAATAAATTCTTGATGAAGAGCGGCTCCAAGCCCATCCAAACAAGCATCAATATAAAGTATAAATGGCTTGTCGTAATCAGGTTGGGCTAGGACTGGTGCAGAAGTTAGTAACTTTTTCAATTCTTCATAATTTTTTACTCTTTCCCAGGTCATCTCATAAATGGTGTCATCTTTGCATAGTGCGTATAGATTCTTACTCACTATGGCAAATTGAGGGATATGTTGCCTGTAATAACTACAAAAGCCTAAAAATGACATCATTTCTTTCAAGTTATGAGGAAGAGCCTTGTTCATCACAGCAGCTTCTTTATTTTGATCTACAGCTAGGGTTAGGCCAGATACTATCCTACCTAGAGCTTTGAGTTCTCCATAACCAAAGTTGCATTTTTTAATGGACATTTTCAAACCAGTTTTGATGGCGGTACTCAGCACTAGATTTATTTTCTCCAAGTGGGTTTCCCAATCATTTGAATATATAATTATATCATCTATGTAGACCATCATCCAGTCTTGTCTAATAAAAGCACCAAAAATTGAGTCCATCATTCTCTGAAAATGGGAAGGGGCATTTTTGATTCCAAATGGCATTCTCAAATATTCATATATTCCCAAATGACAAATTATTCTCAAAAATTGTCTGCTGTCAGGATCAATGGGTATTTGATGAAAACCTTTAAGAACATCCATAGTTGTAATGTATTTGGCTTTGGATAAATTATGCAAGGAGTGATCAATGCGTGGGATTGGGTAATAATCAGGTCTAGTGTAATTATTCAGAGCCCTGAAATCCCCAACCATTCTCGACTTCTCATTATGCCAAGCAATAATTACGGGGGTAGTAATTTCTACTTGTTCATTGTGTCCAACTTTTCTCAGCACACCTAATTCCATTAGCTCTTTAATGTGAGTTTCTAAAGCTTCTCTTGATTTAGGGCTGGAAGGATAAGGTGGTCTTCTCAAGATGGGAGGATAAGGTTCTTTAACAGTTAATTCCAACTTCATGTCATGCCCTTTTATGTTACCAATAGGTTCTTCAGTAGTACAAAAGGATTCTTTATTTATGAAGCAAGTTTTAAGCACATCTAGTTTCTGTTGCTCATCTAGAATATCACTCACAGCTGCTTGAGACAGATATTCAGCCTTGAAGGACTTCATTTCTTCCGTAATTTCATCAGGTATATCAGGGAGTTTGATATTCACATTGCAAATTTGAAATTTCCTTTTCCAATCTCCTCCAATAGTGTAGAATCTGTTCTTACTTTGAAATATGTCAATTCCATACATGCA